TGCCGTTCGGCGGCGGCGACGACGACGACGCCGGGGCGAGGGACTTCTTCAAGTACAGGCTGCGCCCGGCGGACTTCGCGCACGCCTTCTTCTCGGTGGTCGTGTTCGCGGCCGTGGCGCTGCTGGCCGACGCCAACACGGTGGCGTGCTTCTACCCGGCGCTCAGGGAGCAGCAGAAGCAGGTGGTCATGGCGCTCCCCGTCGTGGTCGGCGCCCTCGCGAGCGGCGTCTTCGTCGTCTTCCCCTCCAAGCGCCACTCGATCGGGTACCCTCCGGCGAAGCCTGCCGCGAGCTCGCTGGCGTCGCAGTAGCTAGTCCGGCCGGTGATCTCGATGTATGCGCTCTCCCGCCGTGTGCTATGTGTTTGCGTTTCGCGGGCGTACATATTTTTTTTTAGTCGAGTTTTCTGTGCGTACATGTGCCGTTCGCATGTGGTGCTTTTGGTTCGTCGCGGGTCGCGGACAAGGCCCAAATGTAAAAAAAGTAAGTTCGATTTTTTTAACACAGTACAAAAGTAAGTTCAATTCTGTACCCTTTTCTTGGTATAAATATTCCTTTTTTCAAAAAGACAACCGAAGGGCTTCTTCGGTATGATAAATTTTATTATAGGAAAACAGTAACCAGGAAAGACAACAGGACACAAAACGATAAGCAAAAAAATACATCAAAAAATCATATTGATAATATTTTTCTTTTGATTGTACGTCGTCCGCCGAAGCTTGAAAATTGCAATGAGCCGACCATAAGGAAAAGCCCGCAAACTTCCTTGACATATTAAGCTTTGAAGACCGAAAAATGAAGAAAGAATCCCATTGCTAGAATGGGCTTATTTTAATATGAAATTACATGTCATTTCCTTTCAAAATGGATAAAATGAATACAAGTGAATTCAGATGATAATTCATGTTAGTGATGAAAAGAACTCTTCTACTTCTTCGATATATTGCAATTTAAAGAAATGGAAAAAGTCATTCATCGTTAGAAAATAAGATCTAAAAACCACCGAAAAAACGGTTAGGGCATCACCCCATGCAGTTCATGCTTGCTATCTTGCAGTACTATCATAGAAGGTTGGAGAAATCGAACCATGCCGCATAACAAATCGAAAGAAGATGCTGAAATCATAGCACCAAGAGCCAGACAACTCTTCCCCTTGATTTGACACACTAAATGTTTAAATCCGAAGAAAACTAACAAATCTGACATCTACCCTCGTCAAGATACCGAGAGACCAAAGAGACCTTATTTCAGTGTGTCATTGCTGCCACCATCTCGTCGATGACGCAAGACGGCTAGAGAAAGAAAAATGTAAGGAAAACAAAAACCTATAAGGTCACTACTTAAGACATGAGATTAGGCTAAAAGGTCGCCACTTAAGACATCAACGAGGGACCACTCATTTCTCACCTTCCCTTTGTATCTCGGAACCATCTCCTTGAGAGTCGCCATTTTCTGCCCGACGCCTTTTCCCTTCTCCTCCGGCGGCGAAGCCATCGTGAGTGAGCATGCGAAAGGTTGCCAGGTCGCAATAGTGTCATGTAGGTCTAGTAGTAGGTGTAGGGCTAGGTCTAGGTGGCTTGCCTTGGTGGCGATTAGTGCTATGTCGTGTCTAAGCTCTGTCCCGACTATTGATTTACGCATGCAACGCTAACACACATTTTATTTCCTACTGAGTAGAACAACCAGGAACATGCTTAGGGTACAGATCATAGGTTTACCACTAGGTGTGCAGTCCTTGCAGCGGAAGAAGAGTCAAAGCAGTGCGTTGATTCACCTTATATTATGGAACGGAGGAAGTATTTTGAACCTTGATCTTACTTAACACTCATGTGTGATTTACCAAGGTGGTTTACTTATACTATCATATATTGATATGCATGCATATTTTGAGGTGCAGACGATTTGTGCTTTCTCATGCTAAAATCTTTTCTAACTAGAGAATCATGCAAATATATAGCAATTGGACCGAGTTAAGCTTTGACAAATCTTGCTAATTGAATATTTCCCTTTGAAGTCTCGGTTATTGACCTGGCACATGTTCATACATGCAAAATTATTCCATAATTTAGCCTCCACCGTGTATCAATTTAAAAGAATTTACATTATGCTTAGACTGCACCTGGCTTTAATTGTTCAGAATGCATAATTATGATGTCTAGGCTTCCTGATTGGTCGCTCCTAATCCTTATTGCTAGTCTACGCCTGTACTAAGCGGGAATGTTTCTTGTGCATCCATTTACCTAAACCCAATTATTTCAGAGAGTCCACCATACCTTCCTATACATAGCTGAAAAATCATTCAAAGTAAATTGTCAACACCGCCCATTTTTGTTGCCAAAGTTTTTAAGGTTTGGGAAGTACGGGTTTCTACCCTCTCTGTAATGGCTGTTATGCAATTTAAATAAACCAAAAAATGAGAGCTCCAAACAAAACTTCAAAGCTACAAAGCCGAAAGGCTAAAAATAATAAGTTTGATGTTCTGAGACCATTACAAAGAGGGTCCTGAAACTATTCTCCCGACTCATTAAACACTCAAAATAACTTACGAAACTCCGGCATCGCAAGTGTGCCATTTTCATAAAATTAAGCGCATTACACTCCCTGGTTCCATTTGTGAAAGGCATGTGTTTTATTTTATGTTGAGTCAATTCACAATCTCTCAAGCACCAACTCAGTAAGAACCTAGCAATCATTATTGGTGCAACATGCATTTTGTAGTAGTTAAAGAGGCGTAGAATGGGTATGTAATTCTTCCACTTTTAAATGTTGTGCCTAGTCACCATCTTGATAACGTTGATGTCTATGTACTGCTTTATGTTTGCAAGTGTAGTCACGTAAGATTAATGAGATACTCAATTATCATATTGCTCAGCCCCCCCCCCCCCGACCTGGGTCTTGGATCCGCCACTGGGCAAATGTCGGGTATTTTGTTGATGTGAAACTACTTTGTTACGTAAACCACTCCATTCACCATATTGTCATTGCTACTAATAATTCTTGCAAGCAAGTACTTGTCTCATGTCTGGTTGAATCAATAACTCAATTACTAAACCTTGTAAATATTCTTCGATTTTCCTTTGTCGAATCAATAAATTTGGGTTGTATTACTTCCCTCGAGGCTGTGACAGAGCTTGAACCCAAATCATGGGTGGGCATGCGTTGGAGGGGGTCAAACATATTCCCTTCATTTTTCTATACAAGGCCACAAACTTGGATTACAGGTACCAATGTAAAATTTAATGTGTGCTTTACAAGTCAACTTTTCTTCTTGTTTATTGGGATCATTAATACTCTGCATGCACTCAAAGAAGCTGAGTGGAGGAAGTAGCTGATTGTCATTATGACTACATGCATGCAAGTATTAAACAGGTTGTTAGTACGAGAAAATATCATTAACTTTGCCTTGATTACTGTTGGTGGCCTTGTATAGATGCAGAATGTATATTCCATAGTGGCCTTGTATATAAAAATAAAGGGAGTAATTGCTTTCAGCTGATTTTTGTGTGGAAAATATGCCTAATACAAAAGGATATATCAGCCCATGGATCTTGGCAGAAATCTTTACTTCCCACAAAAACTTATGAGGAAAATGCACATTGCTTAAAATCATTTTTTACATAGAAAGATTCAACAGTGAAAATTGCCATCAGCAGTAACATCCATCTTACAGTGAATTTTCCAGGGAGTGATACGATGTGGAAGCAACAAAACAAATTAGCAAACCACTCGTTTCCTTGTAAGTATTAACCAGTGATTTCCCCTGATTTTCCCAGATTCTTACTCCCTCCGTTCCGAATTACTTGTCTTGGATTTATCTAGATACGAATCTTCGTATCTAGATAAATCCAAGACAAGTAATTCGGAACGGAGTGAGTACTTAAGTTGCTGGGATCATGTCAGCATCCGGGACCAACGGTTGCATCTAATTACTAGCCAGCATCCATCACCCTCAGGCCTCAGCTCGTCCGCATGGCAATACAGGTGATCAGCACCCCTCAGGCGCGAGGGCCACATACGCGCGCGCCCGGCCATGCACGTTCGTGATCCACAGTTGGACAGTTCTCACGGTGGTTGGGATACATCGACCCATGATTATACATACGGTCGGGACCTTGCTGTCCGTCCATGCATGCATGGTACGTACGTACTGCTCTGCTGGGTGTAGCATAGCACCGTGTACATCAGCCGGTACGGTACGGTGGGCCGTATCGATCCAGTAGCTGCGAGCCGTCGGCGTCAGCCATAACACCTCGCAGCCAGCAGTAGAGCACATCTGCTGTGTTTTTCTCTCGTTTTGTTTATCTTATCAGAAGAACAGAATGAGTCCACTGGCCCTATCCGGATAACGTATAGGAGCTATGGCTCACCGGTGAGGATGGAGACGGCTCTTGTTATGAAACAAAGCAGGTGCTGTGCCACCTGCTTCGATGATACTCCCTCCGTTTCATAATATAAAAACGTTTTTTTACACTGATGTACTGTTAAAAACATTTTTATATTTTGGGACGGAGAGTAAAAAGTTGGCTTCGTCGTGTACTGTTCCCTCAAAACAATGGTGAAGCAAAGACTGTAGTACTGAAGTTGAAGTTTTTATTTAATTTTTTTGCTCTAGATTCTTCAGGCTGGTGTACATTTCGGTAGACGATCGGCACAGTTTGCCAGCTCTTTGTGCTGCATCCACTTCTGGTTTGTAAATTGTAATTCAGGCAACAGGGACTGCCCACCCGAAGCCACCCCGAATGTGAAAACAGGGCCAAGGCAAGGCAGCAGGCAACAGCGGCATGGAAGCCATCCCAAAAATACATTGCTTCCTTCCACCTCCTGGTTACTTATACATCACATTCTTCAGCCCCACTTCAACCACTAGCCATCCCAGCCGTATACACAATTGAATTGAAAGCAACCAACATCGCCTCTACCAACAATGGCAAAACAGGTAAAAAAGAAAAAGAATGTACGTACTAGAGAAGGACTCCAGCAAATAACACAGAGTATCATCATCATTTAGCCGCCCATATCCCTTTTCTGGGCCCCTTCTTGCTCATCTTCACCACCCTCTGCTTCCGGCCCCCGGCGGCCTGCTCGTCCGCGTCCCTGGTGTCCGGCACTATCGCGACGTCGACCCTCACGATGTGGTGGTCCGACGTCCCCTTGGAGGAGACGACCGTGTAGGAACCCGGCACGAACTTGTAGGGGGAGTTCGGCGACGCCAGAATGTAGTCCACCCTCGTGCCGTACTTGCACGTCCCTTGCACGTCTGGAGATTCAGTTCAGTGTAATTTCAGTACCAGAGTAACACAGCAGACATTGTTAACAGTGCCTTATAAAAACGTGGCATGTCAGTCAGTCTTACCCTGGCCTTTGGCCACGACCACCACGGCCTCGCACTCTCCGGCGAAATCCTTGGCGTCCACGTACTGCTTCCCCTTGAGGTACTTCATCACCTCCACCTTGGGCGTCGGCTTGCCGATCTCCTCGTAGTACTGCAAAATGCAACACCAAAGATCATCAGAATTGCCTCGTAATGTCCAAGGTTTCGAAACCATTCGGAGAAGACTGAAGACCTTGACGATGTCGGCCCATCTGTCGGCGGAGTAGTCGGTGCCGTCGAGCGCGTTGAGGCCGCCGGCGAGGATGTGGGGGCCGTCGACGGAGCGGAGCATGGCGTCCACCTGCTTCATCCGCCAGCTCTCGTCGAGGTGGTCCAGGTGCGTGCAGTGGAAGTTCACCTCCCCGGCCCGCGGCACCTCGATCGTGGCCCTCAGCACGTTCCTGCACGCGCCATCACACCTCTTCAATTTTTCACCACTTCTCCTTCCCGACAACCATTCAGCATTAAAAAACGGTGACAGGGGCTCCATCAAGCTCGGACAGCAACAGAGGCCGGGGAATTATGCACGTTCGGCTCTCGATCCATTATTATTATATAATTAGAGATTTCGTGATCGCGATATCACACGGACACAAAAACAAAAACAAAAACAAAAACGCAGTGCAATAACTTGTCGTGGCCTCCTTGCATGGCCGTGGGTGGCTGTCCGTCCGTGGATCCGAATTGAAGCCGCCGTCGCCCGGAAAGGGCCTGCCCAGCTACTCCGGACTGTTCGCCGACGGCGACGCCGCGGCACCCTAACCGTCGTTCTAACCATGGACTCCGGTTGATCAGTCACGGGGAAAGCTACCAAAGAGAAGAGAGAAAAGCATGGACCCTCGGGAGCCGGCCGTTTGCCCTTGGATTGTGGACGCTGAATGCAGAGAGAGAGAAAGAGTGTGTGTGCGTGTGTGGTGCCAGGCGCCAAGGGAGCTGTTTCACCTAATCCATGGCTTGGTACTAAACTAATAGCCCTAAACAAAGAGGCAGTTTAGCTAAGTTGTGGATCAAGATGTGTCATACTTACTCCCTAAGCATCTAGCTGCCTGTCGGGCGTGGGTTTCGGGTTGACAAGCGCTAGTGGCAGGTGAAGCCCGGTGCCTACTACGTACCGCTTTTGGCTCGGAACACGGGTCAGCCAGGACACTGCCTGGCTAAGCAACAAGAAGCTTCCACGAGAGAAATAACAATACTAAAATGAGCAGAAAAAAGAGAAGAAGCTTTAAGGTTATGTCTGAAACTCAGGAATTTCCATGGAGATTGTTTAGGCTTCTTTCGACCGGCAATAATGCACGGCGGACCGGGCGGGGTCCGGCCGGGGACGCAACGCATGCAATGCACAACTACCATACGTTCATGCGAAAACGAGCAGCTAGCTAGTGGTAGTAGTAGATGCTGCTGCTTGGGTCGAAAAGGACACGGGCTAGGCTAGCACGCCGGTGGCGCCGACGAGCGGGCGCCGCTGTCCGGCAACAGTCGCCGGCCTGGCATGGCCAGCGGCACACGAGCCCTGGTCGGGCGCAAGGACGGGGCACTAATGCGGCGCACTGGCGACGTTTGACTGCGGGCCGGGTGTGGGTTCGTTCGTTCGTTTACAGTGGAAGAGGATGGAACATTCGTTCGGACCACGACGTGACCCGCAGCCCCGAATCCGATGCAGGAACAGAAATGAGCGACGCCGTAGGAGGGCGACTGACGGACTGACTGACCTGAAGTCGGACTGGTCGGCGACGCGGAGCGCCTTCCAGCGCTTGATGGGCCAGCGGGAGAGCACGGCGTTGCCGTACTCGGGCGCCCAGCTCTCGGCGAACACGTACCGCATGCCCAGCGCGCCCGCCAGCTCCGACAGCGGCCGCATCCCGCGCTCCTCCTCGGCGCGCACGTTCTGCAGCCCGATGATGTCGGCGCCCGTCTCCCGCAGCACCTCCTCCACGCTCCGCCGCCGGCTCGCGTCCAGCCCGCCCGCGATCACCTGATGCGGCTTCCGGGCCCTCGGGCTGCCGACCAGCCGCCCGCTCCGGTCCAGGGAGATCTCGTTGTCCTGCAGGTTGATGGACACGCGCGCCTTGCTCGGCGCCCGCGACAGCAGGCTCGCCTGCGCCTTCAGGATCCCCTTGGGCCGCGGCCGCCCCCCCGTGCCCGTGCCGGCGCCGCTCCGGCGCGCGGCCTCGCGCTCCGCTCCCGCTTCAGGGACTGCGGCCACCGCGGGCGCCATGGAGAACAGCGCCGCGTTGAACGTCGCCACGCGGATGGTCACCGGCTGCCGTCCCTCCCCCGGCGCCGACCCATCAGCACCGCCGCGCGGGGTGCCGGCCTTCCTGCTCCCGCCGTTGCTGCCCAGCCGGCGCACGGTCACGCGCGCCTTGGGCACCGTCGCCGCTCCGGCACCGGCAGCAGCGCCAGCGCCACCACCAGCACCGCCCTGCCGGCGTCTGCGCGGGCGCGGGTGCAGCGCGCGGAGGCCGGCGAGGACGCGGCGCAGCATGTGCCTCAGCGCGGCCACGAGCATCCGACGCCGCAAGTCGGTGCAAGAAAAGCGCGCGCTCCCGCCCACCCGCCGCCTTGGCTTGCGTTGGCGTGCGCGGCCGGTGTCGTGCTGGTGAGCGCGGCCGGGGAGGCAGGCAAGCTTTGGCTTGGCGTAATATACTACTCCCTGCTCTGCTTACTTACTTACTCCATGGCCGGCTAGCGACACGGGGAGGCGACGGCGACGGCGACGGCTCCGCGTGCCTCTGCTGTGGAGGCTCGCTTCGCTGCCGTCACCGGGGGGGATTTTGTACTGCTGGTTAGCTCGACGCACGTCAGATGACTGTGGTCGCGGATTATTCGCGCGTACTAGTGCGTACGTGGACGTGGTCACAAGCGAGATCCGCTGGTCGCTGCAGCGTCGTCGTTTTTCTGTGCCATCTTCTCCAGGGTATCTTCTTCCTCTGCCCAACCGCAGTGAGGCCAACTCCACCGCGCGATCCCATTTTATCCGGATGCGTCCGTTCAAGATAAAACGGACATACCAGACGACCTAGCGGCAGACCCGCTTAGCTAGCCAGCCGCCGTCGCTGCTGCATGTGCCGCAACTTCGCGCGTGGGCGAGCGCCCCGGCAAGGCTCGGAGCGCGTGGGCTGCGGGCGGGCGCGGTTGCTGCTGCAGCCTCCGCGCTGGCGAGCAGGCGAAGCACGGGGCGAGCAGCTGCGACATCTGTGTCGGCGAGCGTGGCGTGACCGGGCAGTCGGGTGGGCAGGTACGGGCGCACGGGCGAGCTCGGGTGTTGCTGCTACACCCCGGCGAGCACTGATGCGGCGCAGCGAGAGCGAGAGCGCGAGCTTGTGGGCGGATGAGGCGCAGACGTGGGCCAAAATGCAGGCAGATATTTTGGGGTAGTCAGCTGCACTGGGTGCCTCCAACATGAGCCGGACACGCATGTCCGTTTTGCTACCCATTGCTACCTCAAACGGACGAAATCCAGACAAAGGGGACGTCCGTTTGAGGTCATACGGTAGAGTTGGCCTGAAGTGGAGGAGCACACAATCCCGTAGCAGAGTACTAGTACCAATTACACAACCACAAAATATATACAGAAAAGGATTTTTGATCGGCTAAGATGACCAGCTGAAATAGTATAGGAGCATCTACAACCCGGCACCCCAAACCTCTCTCATACAGCCGGGCGGACGACCCAGTTAATGACCGGTCAAAAAACCCGACCCCAGCCATCTTAAATAAGCCTCAGACGTCCGGACTGACGGTCAAGTTCCACATGAAACACTCCGAAACCCGGCAATCTGAAGCTGGTCTCCTTTGTCAACGCGTGATGCCACTCCAGTGGGCCGCATAGTGCCCTGGGACGGCTATTTAAGCCGGCCACCGGCACCGAAACCCTACCCATTCACATTTTCCCATGTTGTCCGTCGCCGCCACCGCCACTTCCCACTCGCGCATTCGTCACTAGTAGTAGTCATGCCCCCACGCCTTCGGGTAAGGAGCTACTCGTATCTAATGCCGGAGTGCTGACTGCAGCTGTTTGAGCAGATCTGGGCAAGGCGCGAAACCCATATCACCGCTGGGCTACCTCCGGACGAGGTGGATCCGAAGAAGGAGGAGGGGGAGGAGGAGGAGGAGGAGGAGGAGGAGGAGGAGGTGGGGAAGACGAATGGGAAGGACGCGGG